AAGGTGGCGCTGCCAGGGATGCGGCTGCTAGCCGTCAGCTCGCGTTTATTCCCACTGCGTTGCCAGGGGCGGGGAACGCAGAGCACGGACAACAAGCGTTTCGACGGCGCACGCGGCGACCCCGCGGCATGCGGCGCCGGCAGCGCCCGCGGCGACCGCGGCGGCCGCGGCGCCCGCGGCGCGGGCGGCGCTGGCGGCGCCCGCGGCACCTGCAGCGCCCGCGGCGCCCGCGGCGCGGGGGAGGCGCCCGCGGCGCACACAGCGCCCGCGGCGCCCGCAGCGAGCGCGGCGGCCCCGGCACCCGCAGCGCCCCGGCGGCACCCGCGGCGCCCACGGCGCCAGCGGCGCCCGCCGTAGCCGCAGCGCCAGCGGTGCCAGCGGCGGAACCAAGCCCACCACGCGAGCGGCGGGCAACGCCTGCTCGTCGGGGTCCCTGGCGCCTGCTCCGCATGCTGCTCGCGTGCGCGACTCTGCGGCAGTCCGCGCGCAATCCACATTAGTCAGACGGCCTCTCTGTTCGCTGGCCGCGCTGTCCATGCCGGCCGCTCTGCAGCTAGCCCTCGCCGGGCGATCCGCGCAGCGGTGGCGCTCTTGTGCGTCGCCAGAGCAGCTCTGCCCTGGCGGTCGCGCCGCCGATGCAGCAGAGAAAACGCAGAGATCTCGCCGTGCTGCAGGCAAACGTGCCCCGCCTGGCCGGCGTCGTCGTCGGGGAAGAGCACGTGCAGGCCACCGTGCTCCAGTGGCTCCAGCGGCGACACCCAGGCGTCATAGACAGACGCGTCGCTGATATCATAGTGCTCGATTAGTACAGCTTTGCCCACTTTGAAACGACCGCCAACGGCAGACGTCCAGGATCCACCCTCGGTCGTCGCCAAGAGGAACGCGTCGATCCGCTCCAAGGTTACAACAATGCTACCGTGATCTGACGGGGCAATCGCCCGCCGCGAGGCCGACCGCTCACGGCGAGCGACGCGGGCAAACGAAGCGCGCGATGCCGCCCGGCCCCCATAATCGTCAGACACATCCCGGCGTCCGCCGACAGTGTCGCCCGTGGCTTCGCAGGGCGCGGTGGCTACTGGGGCCGGGGCGCATGGCGAAGCCTTGCGGGCCGGTGCGGGCGGCGCGGTTGGCCGCCGGGCAGAGGCTGGGTCGCCTCCGGCAGCTGGGGCAGACGGGAACGCTGCATTGTGACATGCGGGGGCGGGCCCCTCTCGCTGGCGTTCGCCCGCGCCTGTCGCCGCGAGGCTATCGTCCGATGTGGGAGTGCTGTGGGTCGCACCGGGCGCGGGCACTTTGTCAGACGCCGCTTCTTTCGGGGCGGATGCCGCCTTCCCCGGCGAGCCCCGGGTTTCGAGAGGGAGGGGCAGCGGCCCGCTGTCCGCTCGGGCGGAATCGCTGCCGGGGGAAGGAGGGCGGGTGGGCGCGACGGGGTTCTTGACGACAAACTGGCGGATGGCCTCGTCGTCCTGTCTCTGCCGGGCGAGTCCGTTGATCCCCCGCGAGGAGGCTTCGAGCGCGCCAGGGGCGGCGGCGGGCGGAGTCGCAGCGAGGCGTCGCTGGGCCTCGCCCTCGACCAGGTGCGACAACATCCCCAGACTCTCCAGGTAGCGGGCTCCATATCTGCCGTCGGCCACGGGGGGGGGCCTCGGAGGCGCGGGCCGGAGCGTCTGCGCCGACCGCGAGGACGCGCCCGTCTGTGGCCCGCGCGCCCATCCAGGAGTCAGGCGAGCCCTCCAGTCGCGAGTGCCCTGGGCCCCGGTCAGTCGCACCCCTGCGCCCGCGCGCCCGACGCGAGAACTGTAGCAGCTGACGGCCGCTCCTGGATTTGCGGCACCCTGGCTCCCTTCTATGTGCGGCGGGGCTCCGTTTTCGGGCGCTCTCTGCAGCCTTCCGAACTGCCGCCGCGATGCCGTCGCCAGGAGTGGGCGCCGTTCCAGGCGTACTTTGGGCCTCCTCCGACCCAGCTGTAGGAGTGCCCGTATCAGCCTGTGGCTCGCTCGAAGGATTGCTGCGGCCGAAAGCTGCTTGTTCCGACGTGACCTCCTGGCCGCCTTCTGGCCCAACGTGCCCAATTTCTCATAGTGAATCCGACGTCGCAACCGCTCCGGGCTCGGCTTCTCTTCTAGAGGTTTGCTGGCCGCCGGGGGTGCCCGCGAAGGCGTGAGGGCCGGGGCAGGGGGAAGCAGGGGTGCCTCGTTCGCCAACGGACACAGGGCTGCAAAGGTGCAAGGGAACCTCTTTCGGACAGCCGGAGTCGTAAGGATGGCTCGGGCATTGGGATGCAAGAGTGCCTTGAGCTCTCGCGGATCCCTCGTCGCCAGGGTTACAGCTGATGGCCGTCGACTCTGGTTGCCCCAGATGGGTGCCAGGGTCAAGGCTGACGGCCGTCTGGACGCACTGCGTCGTAACAGCCGTTCCGTTCCCTTCTGGCCTGACGGGCCCTGTGTCTTCTTGCGAAGTCTGCTGGCCGCCGGGGGTGCCCGGAAGGGCGTCAGGGAGCGAGGGTGCCTCCTTCTGACAGTCAGAGTTGTGCGGATCACGGCTGGCGGCCGTCTGGTCGCTTTGTATCAAAGAGATGCTGGGATCACGGCGGACGGCCGTCTGCACGCTTTGAAAGGTCTGCTGTCCGCCGGGGGTGCCCGGGAGGGCGTGAGGGCCTGGGCGCGGGGGGGCAACGGCACCTCGTTCGCCAACGGACACAGGGCTGCAAGGGTGCAAGGGGGCCTCTTTCGGACAGCGAGAGTCGTGAGGATGGCCCGGGCGCTGGGATGCAATAGTGCCTTGAGCTCTCGCGGATCCCTCGTCGCCAAGGTTGCGGCTGATGGCCGTCGATTCTGGTTGCCCCAGATGGATGCCAAGGTCGCGGCTGGTGGCCGTCTGAACGCACTGCGTCGTTACAACCGTTCCGTTCCCTTCTGGCCTGACGGGCCCTGTGTCTTCTTGCGTGGTCTGCTGGCCGCCAGGGGTGCCCGGAAGGGCGTCAGGGAGCAGGGGTACCTCCTTCTGACACTCAGAGTTGTGAGGATCACGGCTGGCGGCCGTCTGGTCGCTTTGTATCAGGGAGATGCCAAGATCACGGCAGACGGCCGTCTGCGCGCTTTGAGAGGTCAGCTGGTCGCCAGGGATGCCCGTGAGGGCGTCGGGGCCCGGGCACGGGGATGCAAGGGTACCTCGTCTGTCGACGGGCACCGGGCTGCCAGGGCGCAAGGGTGCCTCTCTCTGCGGCTGCTGCTGCTGCTGCTGCTGCTGCAGCTGCTGCTGCCGCTGCTGCTGCAGCTGCCGCGGGGAGTCGCCGAGGGCGGCGGCGGCGGCCGCGGCGGCGCCAGCAGCGGCGGGCCCCAGCGCGGCCGCGCGGGCCACGGCGGCGGCGGCGCCGGACCGCGCAGGGCCAGCGGCCGCGGCGGCGGCGAGCCTCCGCCAGGGGCGGCGGCGGGCGGGCATGCGGCGGCGGCCGCTGCCCCGGCGCGGCGCTGGCCACCGAGCCCTCCGCCGCCGGGCCGGCCCCCCCAAAAAAAAAAACCGGCGAGGAGCCAGGAGCTGCTCGGGCAGCGGCAGTGGCAGGGCCAGCGGCCAGGGCGGCGCGCAGAGGCGCCTTGGCCGCGGCCGCGGAAGCGGCAGTCGGCATCAGCGGCCCGGCGGGCGGCGCGGCGGCGGCGCATGCGCCGGCGGCCGCGGGAGCGGCAGCGCTAGCGGCACCGGCCGCGCGCGCAGCGCCGGCGGCGCCAGCCGCCGCAGCCAAGCCAGGGGGGCCGCCGCCGACGGCAGCCAGGGCGGCGGTGAGCCGCGCGACCGCCGCCCGGCGCTGAGCGCGGCGCAGCGCAGCCCGCGGCACGCCAGGGGACGGGGACATGGCAGGCCGAGCCCAGGGGGAGACGGCGGCTCCCAGGCCGCGCCGGCCAGCCTCGAACCCTAACCCCAGAGGGAGGAGGCCCCCCCCGGGAGACGGCTTGAGCCAGGGGGGGCTACGGACGCTTGTGGGGATACGCGTAGCGTCTAAAATTCATCTGGGGGGCGCATTCTGCCAGCCCTTGACCAGAAGGGTATCAGCATTCAACTTGGCAGCGGTCTATCAACATGGTATGTTTTGCGGCCCGCCAGCTCGTGACCGCGATATTGGATGACAATCAACAGGCCTGCTCCTCCTTCACAAATGCCAGCCGTGCTAGCCTGCCAAGAATGTTGGGCTTGACGGAACGCCTGTTGAGTTTAGCGTCTGACTTGTACACGCGTCTAAAGTTTGGTATCATATCTACCCAGACGAGCTCAAACGCAGCTTCGGCTGGTGGTTCGTTAGCGCAACGCTGGGCCAAACCGATCTAGCTTCAATTAGCGGATTCTCTCAGGTTCTGCTCTAGCTTTACTTTAGATGTGATCACTCAGCTGCCTGCGTGTCTTCCTGGACGGAGTCCCGCCGCAGTGCGACTGAACAGGCGCGTCTTTCACGAGAGGTCAGAGGAGCTGCAAAATAAGTGGGAACCAGATCAAAGCTGCCACCCAGAACGCCCCAGACACGACTTTCAGCCCAAACGCTCCATGGAGCTCGGCGAAACGATGCCTCGAGACGCAGAACTCGTGGTGGCGCATGGGCGATGGCGGGCACAATGGGCGCAGCCGATAGCCACGCAATTCCCAGGCCAACATGCCCACATGGAGGCAACTTGTGAAGCTACCGTTTCCGCAACCTTTGAACACCACACATTCCTACGCTAGCGTGCAACCAACGGCGCCGCGAGAACCCCTAAGTGCAACCACGTCTTGGGGAAGCATCTAGCTCTTCGATGCCTCCAGTTGCAGGAAATCGCGAGGAAACAAGTATAGACGTAAGAAGGAAACTCAAACGGGCAAAGTATATCATCACCGAGAAGGGTGCTTGCCCCCCCAAAAATGGACGCTTAATGGGTGAGGCAATGCGCGAGCAGCCAGCAAGGTTACTCCACGGTGAACGGATGCTCAACGCAAAGGGGCACGGCGTCGGCGAATATGACGCGCCTGGCCACAAGATGGCGCGGTTCGGTCGCGCCGCGGAAATGTTCCGCTAGACCAATCGTGCTTGTAACTGCGCGCGCGCGTAGGTTCCCGCGCCAGCGAGGGCATTGCCGTGACTGGTTCAGTCGTCGGATGGTACACATGTGTTCCATGCCCCCCAGCGCTGGGGCGCACCGGGCGCACACCCCTGGACAGGCGGAGCTGAGGACTGGGGGCAGTGGAAGGCCCACGGGCCTGTTGCATCGCCCGGCCCTCGGAGCCGCATGAAGCACCGAGCAGACCGATGTCTGCGAGAACTCGGTGCACACCTCTCGCGAGGCGGAGGGATGGAGGAGGTGAACGAGAATCCCGCTTGGAGCCCCAGTGGAAACACTTGGGAACCTCTGGAGGCATTCTTGGAACCTCTTGGGCCGTCTTCGTGCGTCTTGGGGCTCGCTCGTGGCACTTGGGCGGGCCCTCTCGGCGCTGTCTTGGGCCGTCGTGGGGCTCCTTGTGGAAGCTCTCTTGAGCCGTCTCTGGGTCCCGCTGGGGCGTTCTGGGGCCGTCTTCTGGCTTTCTGCGGTCGTTGTGGAGCTGTCGTGAGGTCTTCTGAAGCCCCCCAAACCTAGGAGTTTCGACCCGCTGGGCAAAAGTAGGGTTACGGGGGGCGGAAGCGTGATGCCCCTGGGCCCAGGGGCCCAGGCACCAGTTATAGCATATTAGAGCAACGTTTGTGATTGGAACAAAGAATCGGTGCTTCATTAAGACAGCTTCTGACTTGATGTCCCAACAGTGCTTGCACGAAAGGGTCCTTACTTGAGTTCTGAGGAATTGTCCTGGCGTGCCAAATTCAAGCCGTTGTCACAGTGGGGTTCTGGCCGCTGCCATTGAGCGGTGTGCCGTTTTCTTCGGGTTGCCGCCATAGAGCTCTGGACAATGCCGCCATGGGGTTCCACTCGCACACGCACACACACACACGCGCAGATAAAACTCAATAGGAGTAGGGTATCGCTCACAC